TATAATTTTTGTATTTTATATTACAACTTTGTAAAAGTTGGAGGGAAAAAGCACACTTATCATCATTGTAGAAACAGTTTAAAGTTTAGAAGAAACAAATTCTATAAATTCTTGTATCTTGGGCAAGAAACACCAACCAGTGTGCACATGCTGGAGGCAAGGCAGCTTCTATGGGAAGGCTTCTCATGTTTTAGTAAAAGCCACACAGCATGCATCTGCATGTCCTTTGGAGCTGGACTAGACTTGTGACTCCAAATGTCACCGGTGAGAGGCTCCTACTATTTAAAAAGAATGAATGGAAGAACCATCAGGCTATAGCTAAACATACCTGTGAAAGGATCGAGCCATCCGCACAGCAGACTGAACTGCAAAAGCTTTGGGATTTCTCTTCCAGGCATCTTCTTCGTCTCCTAGCTGGAGATCCTGCAGATGCCGCTTCTTTTTCTTTGCAGCTTTGGGTCCATTGTTTTTCTTTCTGTGTTTCCCTGGTCCTTAGTTTCCATAGTGGCTACTTACCAATAACAAGTAACTGTAACCTACAAGGAAGAAGGTCGGGGTAAGGAGGTGGGAGAAGCATTTTACAATCCAGTCAATACACAGGGGAAAACATTAAATTTCATTTATTTCTTTATGAAGAGATGATGTATTTGTTCACTGAACAAGGGTAGGAACTGCTTAACCATCCCCAATTTCATTTCTCTCTGTTATGCTATAAATTAGATGAGTTACCTCTGCTAACGTTACATTTTATGGTTAAGTTACTTTTTATTCATCTTAAGTGTCAATATCAGCACTATCTATTTCTGCAAGGATGGAAATATTCTATATCTGTACTTTTCAGCTATTCAGCCTTCAGCTACATGTGGTTACTTAAAACATACTTAGAGAAACTGAAAAAATGAATTTTTAATTAATTTCATTCTAACTCTAAATAGTCACATGTGGCTACCATACTGGACAGCTCATACCTAGATATCAACCAGACGAATGAAGTGGTTTCCTAACTTAAACTAAAACTTAAATTTTAATAAAAAATTTAAAACCTTTTTTTGAACTTCCAATATGATCACAGTATTACTTTTAGTACCTGTCGACTCTGTAAAACTCCTAAATTACAGCTCATCTACATACATTTGAAAAATAGTAGTATCTGGGCCGGGCGCGGTGGCTCAAGCCTGTAATCCCAGCACTTTGGGAGGCCGAGACGGGCGGATCACGAGATCAGGAGATCGAGACCATCCTGGCTAACACGGTGAAACCCCGTCTCTACTAAAAAATACAAAAAACTAGCCGGGCGAGGTGGCGGGCGCCTGTAGTCCCAGCTACTCGGGAGGCTGAGGCAGGAGAATGGCGTGAACCCGGGAGGCGGAGCTTGCAGTGAGCTGAGATCCGGCCACTACACTCCAGCCTGGGCAACAGAACGAGACTCTGTCTCAAAAAAAAAAAAAAAGAAAAAAAAAAAGAAAAATAGTAGTATCTGTATGTATGAGATATGACTGGTTCTAGATGATGCCTGGAGACCCCATGGACTTACAGAGACCCTTCCAGTGATTTCTGAGGTACCAGGGAATCTGTGGCCAATAAATTGGTAATCACTGAATTAGTGAGTTTTTTAAGGATATGGGGCTGCATAAAATCTGACAGCTCGATTGAAAAAAGGCGGAGCAGAGTGCCATTTCATTCAATTAAGGTCCTGTATTAATTCATTTAATAAACGTTTGTGTCTCTGATGTGCTAGCCACTGGGCCAGTAAATGGATATAGCTATGATCTGACTGGCAGAGAAAATCCAAACTAGTGTCTTCCGTGCCATGCAATAAGGGCTACATTGCAAGGCTGCACAGGGTGCTACTGGAGCATAGAGGTGAGTCAGAGACTTCCCACAGACACACACACGAGCGGAAATAGAAAGTCTTTATACATCACCATATTGTCAAGGAACACCGGCCGGGAGTTAGGAGGGCTGGGAACTAGGAACGCTTTGAAACTGAATAGCTGTGTGATTTCAGAGATCATGTTGCTTCTCTATTTTAGTTCCGAACTTGTACTAATATTTCTCTCCCTTTTGCTCTTGGTGGGAAAAGCACAATTTGCGGTCAATAGATTCGGCTCAGGTCTAAGTCGCCTACCGGCACCACGTCGCCAGGAAACGACGTCTCCAGGACATCTTCCCTCCCAGTCCGGGCTCTCTGCAGGGATTCATCCCGTCACTCTCCCAACGACCCCCGGGGCACACCTCCAGCAGATGCTAAATATGCTGCTCCTCCGGAGCAAAGATGAGCCGGAGGACCGGGGGAGGACCTTCCCAAGCGCAGGACTCGCGATCTTCCCAGTGCCCCAGGGCCAGGGACCCCACCGCCGCCTGCCCCAGAGCCAGGGACCCCACCGCCGCCTACCCCAGCCCACCGCCGCCTATCCCGGTCCGCCGCACCACCGAACCTGCTCACGACTACGACTTCGCAGGTCCGCTTGGACACCGCCGGAAACGGAAATTCACAGTGGCGCCGACTCGGTGGAGGGAAACAAGAAGACAGAAAAAAGAGACCGGCGCCTGGAGGACGTTCAGGGGAGAGCTGGAGGAAAGACCCCCCCAACAGCTGAGTGCGGGCGCCGGCGCCGTCTGCGCAGTGCGTTGCGCCGCGACCGCGTCCCTGCTGATTCCGCCACACCCTGCTCTCGGAATCCGCTGTCTCAACTCCCGCGGTAGCACTCCCTAGTTGCGTACACCGAGCTCGCCCGAGTCCTCGCTGAAGGGTAGGGCAGCTGTGCGACCTGGCTCGGGTTACTTGGTGCCGTGCAAAAAGCCAGAAGGAAACTCATTTAGCATTGAGCTCTGAGTGTGGTCTCCTGTTCTTTTTTTTTTTTTGAGACGGAGTCTCACTGGATCACCCAGGCTGGACTGCAGTGGCGCTATTTCGGCTCACCACAACCTCTGCCTCCCGGGTTCAAGAGATTCTCCTGCCTCAGGCTCCCAAGTAGCTGGGATTACAGGCGCCTGTCATTAGCCGGGCTAATTTTTTTGTATTTTTAGTAGAGTTGGGATTTCACCATGTTGGCCAGGCTGGTCTCAGGTGATCCACCCTTCTCGACCTTCCAAAGCGCTGGGATCTGTTTAAGCAAGACACTACATTGAGTAGTGCAAAGCAGTGGACATTATGTTGTTTGTAGCTCATTCTCAGTGCTAACAGCAAGAGAAAGTCTTGTGAAGCACGGCCCCCTTGAACTATACTGGTACGCAATTTTTCTTCTTTAAGTGATAAGCAATCTAAAATCAAGGCCTACGGGAAGGACGCAATTGTTTTTGTTACTCATTTCTAAATGTGAACTGGAACGTGCCGCCCTTTTTCTCCTAGCCCCACCTAGAAGTGCAGTGTTGGTGGGAGATTGTATTCTTCTCTGGGCTTTCAGGACCATTACATATGCTGGGGGAGCCTGGCAGTTGGCGCCAGGCCTGACCCCAGACAGTATTTCCTTCAGCGCCAGTATTTGCATTCTCACTGTTGAAAAGCATTTGGCACTCAGTTTCCATTTCTGTATTCATAAGTGTTAATTACTCATGAAAGCAAATTGTGGGAAAACTAATTTTATAAATCACTTTACTAGATTGCGTTTTCCTTCCTTTCTTTCATGCTTTTTGTTGGTAATTATACAAATAATATAATTCTAAGTTCTCTGTGTAAAAATATTTAAACAATACAGATAAAGAACAGATCACTTTTTAATTCAGCCAGCTGGAACGTTAGGGATATGTTGGGAGTTAGGGGTTTGGTGTGAAGTAAGGCATTTTATTTTGTTTACATGGATAGCAAATTGCTTCAACAAGTTTATTGACTATTTCATACTTTTGCCACTGACTTAAAATTTTATATGGATTTTCATTTTGTATTGATTGCCTGTATAAAATAAGACTGTAGTTTCTCCTGCTCCACTGGTGAGTTTACTCTGCAGTGTTCCAGTGGCCAGTTTATAGTATATTTGATGCCTTCGAAGGGAAACCCTCCTGAGCCCTATTCTTCTTTTTTTTAATTACACCTGTTTCTGAACAAGAATATATGCACATCTTCAGTTGAAAAAGGACAGAAAGATGGGTGGTGAAGACTGCTAACCCCATCTCCACTTTGCAGAGCTAACCACTGCTACCGAAGATACTCTGCTCACACAGAAGCACAGGACTCTCACCCACACATACCTTTTAAAAAATATTTCATTAAATACTTTCGTTAGTCTACTCTTAGATGAACTTGGATATCATGTTATATTAAGTATCAAGTTATATTAAAAACTTCCTTTTTAACAAGTGGCAGAATACAACATTGAGTCTTCCCATCCAAGAAAATTGTAAAGCCTCTTCCTGTCTCAAGCTCTGTTTTGGTGACATGCTCGAGTCTTATAGTAGATTTTAAGACACTCGTGAATGAGATGTGTATGTGCCTTGATTTAGTAGAGCTTAAATACTTGTTGAAGGAATGATAGCTTTAGGCTGAACTAGCTCTACTTTTGTGATGTTATTTGTACTTACTTGATGTTCAATCCCTACACTGTTTTTTCCGTCAGAAAATATAGTCTACTTTGCCGAGCATGGTGCCTCATGCCTGTAATCCCAGCACTTTGGGAGGCCGAGGTGGGTGGATCACCTGAGGTTGGGAGTTCGAGACCAGCCTGAGCAACATGGAGAAACCCTGTCTCTACTAAAACTGCAAAATTAGCCGGGCGTGGTGGCACATGCCTGCAATCCCAGCTACTCGGGAGGCTGAAGCAGAAGAATTGCTTGAACCTGGGAGGCAGAGGTTGCGGTGAGCCAAGATCACGCCATTGCACTCCAGCCTGGGCAACAAGAGTGAAACTCTGTCTCGAAAAAAAAAAAAAAAAGAAAATATAGTCTTTTTTCTGAAAAAGTGAGTGTTGTCCCTAATGGTTAAAGTGTACCTTTAATACATTCATACACACTCCTAATTAGCATTAAATGAGAATGTGCTTTGACTTTAATTCATTATATTTGTTCAACAGAGAAATTGGACTTGACATTTCATTCTTTCAATTACTCCCTCTTAGAGGATATTAATGGACACGCCTGTGTTACTGGTAAACCCATCAGCCAAGGGGGAATCGATGGACGCATCTCTGCTACTGGCTGTGGCGTCTTCCATGGGATTGAAAACTTCATCAATGAAGCTTCTTACATGAGCATTTTAGGAATGACACCAGGGTTTGGAGATAAAATATTTGTTGTTGAGGTAAAAAAAAAAAAAAAAGTTTCTTTAATAAGTGATAGACATTAAGTATAGTTTTTAATGTTTTTAGAATTGTAATTTTAAAATTCAGTTATCTCGCATCTCTTAAATTTAGAATGGTGGTTTCCATAGTAATGGATCTTTTGTTTTTTGAACCTTGCTATGATTCATGTAACTAGAACTGATTTAAGTATCTCTCAAGTAGATGTGAAACTATTACGAACTATCACCAAATTCAACCAAAATATTGGTCAGTATTCAAACTTGAAATTGTATCTAGAAGGGCAAGTCTCTTAACATAACTCTCTAAGTTTTGTAAGTATATAGAAAGGTTTACACATTGACCCAAATTTGTTTGATGTGTTAACATGTATTTTACTTAGGAGAATCTTAATTAAGTTGAAATAATTTTACAACAGAAGTTGTAGCTGGGCATGGTGGCTCATGCCTGTAATCCCAGCATTTTGGGAGGCCAAGGCGAGTGGATCACTTGAGGCCAGGCGTTCGAGACCAGGCTGGCCAACATGGTAAAATGCCATCTCTACTAAAAATAGAAAAATTAGCTAGGCATGATGGTGGCGCCTGTAATCCCAGCTACTTGGGAGGCTAAGGCAAGAGAATCACTTGAACCCGGGAGACAGAGGCTACAGTGAGCCGAAATTGTGCCATTGCACTCCAGCCTGGGCTGGACATCACACCTGACTAATTTTTGTATTTTTTTTTTTTTTTTTTTTTTGAGACGGAGTCTGGCTCTGCATCCCAGGCTGGAGTGCAGTGGCCGGATCTCGGCTCACTGCAAGCTCCGCCTCCCGGGTTTACGCCATTCTCCTGCCTCAGCCTCCTGAGTAGCTGGGACTACAGGCGCCAGCCACCTCGCCCGGCTAGTTTTTTGTATTTTTTAATAGAGACGGGGTTTCACTGTGTTGGCTGTGGCTGGTCTCGAACGCCTGATCTCAAGTGGTTCACCTGCGTCAGCCTCCTAAAGTGCTGGAATTACAAGTGTGAGCCACCATGCCCAATCATCACATTCTTAAACAGATAATTTTATTATTGAAGAGAAACCAGTTAGTACATTGTTTCTTTTGGCAAAAGAATTTTGAGAATTGCTTCTAAATGAACTGAGTGTGGATTTACATTGGTCAAAATATGACTCTTGCTGTCTATATCAGGACTTTAATTTTTGTGTCATGGATAATTGTTCTTCACAGGGATTTGGTAATGTGGGCCTACACTCTATGAGATATTTACATTGTTTTGGTGCTAAATGTATTGCTGTTGGTGAGTCTAATGAGAGTATATGGAATCCAGATGGTATTGACCCAAAGGAACTGGAAGACTTCAAATTGGTATTAATACATTTTTATGGCATAGACACTAAATATAAACATTTAAACTCTGGTGCAGCTATTAATTGTGATTTTCAATCAATGGCAGCAACATGGGTCCATTCTGGGCTTCCCCAAAGCAAAGCCCTATGGAGGAAGCATCTTGGAGGCTGACTGTGACATACTGATCCCAGCTGCCAGTGAGAAGCAGTTGACCAAATCCAACTCATCCAGAGTCAAAGCCAAGGTGACAACATTATAGAAACCGGAACTAACATTTTCAATGTGAATGACGTCGGGGGGTCATAGAAGAATCTGATTGAGTTTTCTCTTTCTTTTTAGCAGCTTCATTGGCATATATTGTACATACCATACAGTTCTCCCATTTAAAGTAAATAATTTAATGGCTTTTAGCTTCCTGCACAGAGTTGTGCAACGATTAGCAAAAAAAACGCATCTGCCTGACACTCCTGTAAAAAAAAAAAAAAACCTAGATAAATAGAAAAGTAAAAGGTAGTTTTATACACTTTGCAGAGCAAAATAACTTCTATTAATTTAATTTTAACTGAAACTGTGCTTCTCCCCACATATGAACACATGTTCATTTATGCATATCTCTTGCCCTCAGTGGAGGGGATTTGACAGTGTTGTTGGCATTTTTCTATGTTCCTGACTCTCTTGCAGATTATTGCTGAAGGTGCCAATGGGCCAACAACTCCAGAAGCAGACAAGATCTTCCTGGAGAGAAACATGGTTATTCCAGTGGGTCATCTATATTTATTAGGCTTTATATGTATTTAGTAATTGTCTTTTGCAAGGAATTTGGAGGAAGAGAGGAATTATTAGTCTCCTAAGCTCTAGTGAATTCATCTTTATTTCACTTTTGAGAAAATATAGTAGAAGCATGGTTAATACTAAGCCTGTCACTTTTCACCATGATCTAAACATTTATTCCAATTTCACGGTCTTTACTGAATGTCTTTAACCTTCTAAGAGTCTGGTTATAGAAATGTGTGCTGTGTTAGAAACACTATAAGTGCCCCTTCCGGCTTTACTCAGAAAACGAATATGAGGCACACATGCTCAGGTTTTTTAGCAGGTAAGCATGAGTCTACAGCAAAAAGTTATTAGAAATTAGTGTGGGCTTGGAATGCATTTTAAAGAACCCCCTTTGCTGAAAGTGCTTAACACATTTAATGTAACTGAAATGGGCTACCCTTAGGTAATAGGAGAAAGAATCCTGTCTTCTGAGAGGCCCTGTGGACGGTCCAATCCAATTGGTTGGTGGGCAAGCCATTTAGTCTGAGAACTTCTGGTAGAGAAGAGGTTGTAACCAAAGATTATTAACATTCATTGATTAATAAGCCAAAAAATGATCTTTTTTTTCCCTAAATAGAAAAAGCGTTAGATGGAATTGGGCGGGGTGGGGAGGAGTGTTAAATTAAGTGTGAAATTCCTGATACTAGCTAAAATATATTTGTGATATTTAAAGTTCAGTCTACCTTGGTATTGAAATTAAGGTCTTAGGTTCATTTTAAGCTTTTGCTAAAACCATCGTCTTCTAATTTCTTTGGTGTCTTATTTTTGTGTATAGGATCTCTACCTGAATGCTGGAGGAGTGACAGTATCTTACTTTGAGTGGCTGAAGAATCTAAATCATGTCAGCTATGGCCGTTTGACCTTCAAATATGAAAGGGATTCTAACTACCACTTGCTCAGTGAGTGTCGATAATCTTGTTCACCAAAACCCATCTTCTGAGCCAGCTAAAAGGCTGTAAAAAGGTCCACTTAAGAGAACTTATCCCTTTGGGAAAGAATTGAGTCTTAGAGAAGAAAATAATATTTTGTCTCATGAAACTTAGACCAAAAATGCACAATGTCTTTCTGGATATTAACTCTCCCATATACTTATATCCAGATTTTTATTCTGTGATGTAATGTTTGCAGAATATAATCTACAAATTAATTTTTTTTTCCTTTTTTGAGACAGAGTCTCACTCTGTCGTCCAGGCTGGAGTGCAGTGGTGCGAACTCAGCTTACTGCAGCCTCTGCCTCCCAGGTTCAAGCAATTCTCCTGCCTCAGCTTCCCAAGTAGCTAGGACTATAGGCATATGCTGCCATACCCGGCTAATTTTTGTATTTTTAGTAGAGATGGGGTTTCACCATGTTGGTCAGGATTGTCTTGATCTCCTGACCTTGTCATCTACCTGCCTCAGCCTCCCAAAGTGCTGGGATTACAGGCATGAGCCACCACGCCCAGCCAATAATATTTATTTAAGTGTGATTTTAAAACCCCACTGCTAATACTCATTTCTGTCTCTGGTTGCTCTTAGTAAAGGCCTGTCTAGTGTCAAGAATTGTTTTTGAGACTCCTGATGAGAATACTTGTTTTTCTTTGACTAGAGTAAGCTCTACAGTTAAGAGTAGAATTTCTCATCAAGCTGAAATAAGACCAAGACCTCCTACTGAGCTTCTCTACTCAGCCCACTGTGAGAATCTGGGTAAAGTGTTCCATCTGTTTCCTTTTCTTTTTCCCCCAGCATTTTCTTTTTAATAGAGCCAAGGAAAAACCCTGGTAATGGGTGTTATGGAAACAGAGCAGTGACCTAAATCCACATTTATATAGGAAATTGACAATAATGTGTTTTATTCCTTCTTGACTGAGTTTTTTTTTTTTTGAGACAGAGTTTCATTCTTGTTGTCCAGGCTGGAGTGCAATGACACAATCTCAGCTCGCTACAACCTCTGCCTCCCTGGTTCAAGTGATTCTCCTGCCTCAGCCTCCCAAGTAGCTGGGATTACAGGCAGGCATCACCATGCCCAGCGAATTTTGTGTTTTTAGTAGAGGCAGCATTTCACCATGTTGGTCAGGCTGGTCTCAAACTCCTGACCTCAAGTGATCCACCTGCCTCAGCCTCCTAAAGTGCTGGGATTACAGGCGTCAGCCACCGCGCCCGGCCCTTCTTGACTGAGTTTTAAGTGATTAACGCTTTTATGTCATTAGAACTCTCTGTACGTTTTTGGGTTACAGTTATTGTTTGGGACTACTTTTGATTCTACTTCATTTTTCTTTTCTGTTAGCAATATCTTGATCTCTCTCTCTCTCTTTTTTTTTTTTCCCATAGTGTCTGTTCAAGAGAGTTTAGAAAGAAAATTTGGAAAGCATGGTGGAACTATTCCCATTGTACCCACAGCAGAGTTCCAAGACAGGATATCGGTGAGTGTGCTCACCCCACAGTTGTACTTTACACATGCTCCCTGCTCTTTTGTTCAGGCAGAGCTGGTTAGATGGATTTCATTTATGGCATAGTCTTTGTAATTAGCTTGACAGTAAGTGTGTGACATGTGTGTTTTTTACCTTCCCTTTTCATTGCATTCTAAAACTGGAGTAAGAATCCTAATGACTACTGACAAATTTAAAATAAATAAATTTGGTATTTTTCACACACATGTTTTAACAGTGAAGGATTATTATGTACTTTAATTATTTTAAGCTTCAGAGAAATAGGAAGAATTGAAAAGTAAGCATTAGATTGAACTATATGGGAGTCCAAGAGTTTGAGACCAACCTGGGGAACATAGCGAGTCCCCATCTCTATAGAAAGAAAGCAAGAGGCCAGGCTCGGTGGCACACACCTGTAATCCCAGCACTTTGGGAGGCCAAGGCTGGCAGATCACAAAGCCAAGAGATAGAGAGCATCCTGGCCAACATGGTGAAACCCCGTCTCTACTAAAAATATAAAAATTAGCCGGGTGTGTTGGCACTCACCTGTAGTCTCAGCTACTCGGGAGGCTGAGGCAGGAGAATCACTTGAACTTGGGAGGTAGAGGTTGCAGTTAGCCAAGACTGTGTCACTGCGCTCTAGCCTGGGCCACAGAGAGAGACTCCGCACCCCTCCTCCACAAAAAGAAAAGAAAGGAGGGAGGGAGGAAAAAGGGAGGGAGGGATGGAGGAAGGAAAACTTCTTTACCAGTAAATGATGGAAGACATGAAAAACAAAAGTCCATAGCACATAAACCTGGGGAAAACATTTATCCTCATTGTTAGAGAAATACAAATTTAAAAAGGGTTTTTTTAAATGTATTAACAAAAACAATGAATGGATCTTATGTTCACCATGTATATGGTGAAATAGTTGTACCTGTATTGTAGTGACAGTGCACATTGGTGAAGCTCTTTGGAAAATGTGAAGTTATTAAAGTGTTCCTGCCCTTTGGTGCTATGATAATCTCCCCTCTGGGAATTTATCCTAAGAAAATAATTCAAAAGAGTAGGAACCACTCCATGCACGATGATGTTATTGAAACTATGTGTAGGCCAGATGCGGTGGCTCATGCCTCTAATCCCAGCATTTTGGGAGACCAAGGCAGGTGGATCACCTGAGGTCAGGAGTTTGAGACCAGCCTGGCCAACATGGCGAAACTCCGTCTCTACTAAAAATACAAAACTAGCTGGGAATAGTGGCACATGTAGTCCCAGCTGCTTGGGAGACTGAGGCAGGAGAATTGCTTGAACCCAGGAGGCGGAGGTTGCAGTGAGCCAAGATCATCCCGTTGCACTCCAGCCTGGGCAATAAGAATGAAACTCCATCTGAAAAAAAAAAAGAATCTATGTGTAGATAGTTTTTAAATTTGGTTTCATTTAAAGTCCAGGGGCAGGAAAATGGCTGAGTTATATCTTATAATACATCTTCTTAGGAAATATTCAGTCATAGTTTAAGAATATATTGCAATGACTAAGTTGTATCTTATGAAATACTCAGTAATGGAAAATAGTTCTGAGACTATATTGCAACATGGGAAAAAGTTAAAGGTTTTGTTTAAAAGAAAGAAAAAATGCCCTAGCCATTCTAGGTACTAACTGTTCCCCTCAGTAAACTTTCCTTTTTCCTAGAGTGATGTCTTTGTTCTGGTCCTTCTATCTGGAATACACACATCCCCTCCCTGCATAAGTGTCACTGCAGTTCTGTGGCTGTCTCTGAAAGTCTCCTGTGTGCCACTGTTTCATACAGAACATCCATCCCGAGTGGCTAGTAGTGCATTGAAAGGGCTTGCGCTCTCTCCTACATCAGCAGTTTTCCCTCCTCTGAGTCATTCCCCTCAGCTTACCAAATGCTGTTTTAAAAAATGTATAAATCTTAATCCCACTTCCCTTCCCAGTACTGCCATTTGTTTCCTGTACAGCAAACCTCCTTGGAAGAGTTGTATATACTCAGCCTCCGATTCTTCTTTACTTGAACCTACTCCACCAAGGCTATTCTTGTCAAGACAGCCAGTGACACCAGCATTGCCAAATCCAATAGCTATTTTCAGTCCTTATCTTGCTTACCTGTCAGCAGTTCTTGTCACAAATGACACTCCCACCTTGAAACAATTTCTTCTCTTAGCTTCCAGGATACCACCTTCTCCTGGTTTTCTTCCTACCTCACTGAACATTTCTTCTCTATTGCCTCTTGCTGGTAACTCTTCAACTCTCCACTCTCCTAACATTGGAAGGCCTGAGTCCCTAAACAACTTCTCTATCTAGATTGAAAACTTCAGTGATCCACTTAACCTCGTGGTTTTAAGACTATGTATATACAACTCTCTTCCCACTAGAATATAAAATCTGTGAGAGCAGAATTTTGATTTTCTTCTGTAGGGTCCCCTAGTACCTGGAAGAGTATGTAATCAATAAGTGTCCAAACTACATCAGTGACCCGTTTTAAGTTGTTATTGGGCATATGTGTTTTGTGGCTCTGTATGTCACCTTAAGAGTGGTAGTGAGTTAATTGTCCTTAATTTTTTAGAAAGCATTCCAAGAAAGAAATTAGGAAAGAGAGAAGCTGACTTGATGGTGGAGGCCCTGAGTCATACACAATGGAGCATTCTACCGGGGTATGTGTGCAGATGCTGTTTGCCTTCCTGCCAGTCACATGAAGTGCAACTCAGCCGTGTTATCTCAGCCACCAGACTGTGTGTGCTGATAGAAAATGGCAATCTGGGCCGGGCACGGTGGCTGACACCTGTGATCCCAGAACTTTGGGAGGCTGAGGCGGGCGGATCTCAAGGTCAGGAGATCGAGACCATACTGGCTAACACGGTAAAACCTCGTTTCTACTAAAAATACAAAAAATTAGCCAGGTGTGGTGGCAGGCGCCTGTGGTCCCACCTACTCGGGAGGCTGAGGCAGGAGAATTGCTTGAACCTGGGAGGCGGAGCATGCAGTAAGCCGAGATCGCGCCACTGCACTCCAGCCTGGGCAGCAGAGCAAGACTCCCTCTCAAAAAATAGAAAATAGCAGTCTGTTCAATGCTCCTCATTTGTGTGTAGCAAAACACGTGCTTTTTCAGTCTCAGATGATGAGCAATTTTTTTAGAGTCTTCAAATATGTTTATGAGGCTTTGGAAAGAAATAATAAGGCTGATTTAGGAGGTAATGGTGTTGGCAGCTAGCCCAATATCGAGTAGTTAGCCAAATTGGGTTGTAGCTCAGTGCGCCACTATGTTATAGCTATAGGAAGCTACCTTACTGTAGAATTTGGTATAAGCAAAAGTCACTTTGACTGCTTGATCCCTACTTTAAGGCCTCAACCACAGTTTGAGTCCCATTTTCCTAATTTCTTCTTGGGTTCAGATTCTATCTGCTTGGATTTATGATGAAATAGCATAAGCAGATATTGATGATGAAGGTGGTGCTTAGTGCTATTGTTTTTCTTGTTAATTTTTGATTGAGATAGGGTTTATGTGGTATAAATTCATCTTTTTAAAGTATACAATTTGGCATCCTTTATTATATATACTAGCCATCACCACTATAGAATTCTAGAACATTTTCTTCATCCTCTTCTTTTTTTGTTTTTTTGAGACGGAGTCTTGCCCCGTTGCCCAGGCTAGAGTGCAGTGGTGCAATTTCAGCTCACTGTAACCTCCACCTCCCGAGTTCGAGCAATTCTTGTCCCTCAGCCTCCCAAGTAACTGGGATTACCGGTGTGAGCCAACATGCCCAACTAATTTTTGTTTTTGTTTTGTTTTGTTTTTTGAGATGGAGTCTCGCTCTGTCGCCCACCTGGAGTGGTGCGATGGTGTGATCTCGGCTCACTGCAACTGCCGCCTCTTGGGTTCAAGCAATTCTCCTGCCACAGCCTCCAGAGTAGCTGGGATTACAGGCATCCACCCCAACGCCTGGCTAATTTTTTTGTATTTTTAGTAGAGATGTGGTTTCACCATGTTGGTCAGGCTGGTCTTGAACTCCTGACCTCAAGTGATCCACCAGCCTTGGCCTCCCAAAGAGCTGGGATTACAGGTGCGAGCCACCATGCCCGGCCTAATTTTTATATTTTTAGTAGAGATGTGGTTTCACCATGTTGGTGAGTCTGGTCTTGAACTCCTGACTTCAAGTGGTCTGCCCACCTCAGCCTCCCAAAGTGCTGGGATTACAGGCATGAGCCACTGCACCCAGCCACCCCATTGTTAAGTCCAGAGAATTAGGCCCTCCTGCCTAGTGGTTCTGCTGCTACAGTAGTTTGTCTTTGGCTGCCCAAGTCCTGCCTTGAAACACTGAGAAGGTAACTTGGACCAGGCCTGTCTGGGCCTTGTGTGTTTTTGGCCTGGTCCCTTGAGTCAGGATTATCTTCACTGCATTTTCTCTTTCTTTTCAGCAAATTATGCGCACAGCCATGAAGTATAACCTGGGATTGGACCTGAGAACAGCTGCCTATGTCAATGCCATTGAGAAAGTCTTCAAAGTGTACAATGAAGCTGGTGTGACCTTCACATAGATGGATCGTGGCTGACTTCCTCACTACCCTCTTCACCTGTAACTTCTACTGACCTATCACAAGTTTACATGTAACCACAGAAATCCCTTTCTCTCCTGACTCAGTAATAATGGATACCATTCTCAACAAGTCAATCCAAATCAGCCCCTGAAGGAGAAAGAAATTAAGGTTAGGGGATCATGTACAAGTGTGAAAGTAGAAATCACCTATACCAGAGAGCCATTTGGGTATTTTTGCCTTTAAATAAAAAGTCTCCTCCATCTGGCTGTGCAGCCTTGCTCTGTGGCTTTTCCCAACACAATGAGTGCTATTGCTGGGGAAGGGACAGGCAAGAGCAGTCAGTTGCTTGCTTATTTTGCTCTGGACGAGTCTGGGACACGCTGTAACTTTAGCACATTTAAGAAGTAGGTGTGTGGCCTTTTGAGAAGGTGGCATGGTCCTCAAGTGAGTCCTTAGTA